CATTGCAGTAGGGGATGGGCTGGATCCGTTCTGACTCGATCTTGTGCAACAGGGGAGTGAAAATGCGCCAGGCCTCACGTAGTTCGTCACTGGGGAGGGAGCAGGGTCAGTATCAGTACAGCAGGCTGGAACAGGACGCCTCACACTAAAGGCAGGACCAGTCCTGGCCCCCAGCCCCAGCTGCTCTCCCAGAGGCACCAGAACTCCCTGCATGCTGCCCCTCCTGCCTGGATCCGGGGACAGGGTGTGATGCTCCTGGGTTCTGAGCTGCACACACAAGTCATTGTTGCAACCACTGCTCTATGTTTGCCCCAAAACTTGGGCCAAGTGGCCACGTGAGGGGTCTGTCAGAAGCGGATTCGCTGGTTCTGTGGCTGCTGCTCACCGGCCTGTCAGGTCTGTACTTGCAGTTACGCGCAGGCTGGTATTTCACACGTTTGCTCTTTCCAGGCCCAGTGAGACTAGGTGGCCAGTCAGGTGACCAGCAGCACGTCCCTGACACTGCCCTGCACATGGGGCCAACCCCACACGGGAGGCACTTGGCCGGGAGCGTTCGGTCCAATGTGGGGGCCAGGGCTGCTAAGGCCGAGCCAGGGCTGGAGGGGACCTGCCCACGGGCCAAACTATCTGGGGAGGCACATTTCCCAGCCAGAGCAACAGGAGCCTCTCCCTCCAGGCGGGCTGGGGGAGAACGAGGCCCTGGGGGCTCTGCTAAGAACTCAGCCTGGAAGACCGATGACCCAGCCGAGCAGCCAATAGGCCCCAGATTGTTCCATCTCTGCTACGAGTCTGCACCAAGAGCTGTACAATCAGCGTGTGGGGTCTGATCCCTTTGACAATTTTATTCTCAACCTTTTCTTTCTTTCTTTCTTTCTTTCTTTCCCTGTATCAATAAACCTAAAGATTTTCTATTCTACAAAAGGATTGGCACTACAAGCTCTTTGGAATAAACAGACCCGGGACTGTGGCTGGTCCTTTGGGACTGGGGAACCTGTTCAGCTTTGGTGAGATTGGTTTTCATATAACCTCTCAGCTGGGTAAGAAGTGGTGCTGGTTGTGGCAGAGGGAAAGCTGGGGGGTTTGCTTGTGAGACTCCTTGCTGGCCAGCATGGCAACAGACATGCTGAGTGTGGCTGGTTTGGTGCCTTAAGAGTGGAAGATCCCAGGCTTGGGCTGAAAGTAGCCCTGTTGCTAAGCAATTTGCCTTGACTGGACCCTCTCAGCGGTGCCCCCAGAAACCCGTAATGTCACACTAGCGTAGTTCAGGGTCTGCAGGGAGGGGGCTCGGGGCTGGACAGCCCAGGACCTACCTGCGCACAAAGTGCATCTGGTTGCCACAGAAGACGTCCAGGATGAGTCGCTCGTAGGCATCTGGCAGCTTCACATCCTGGAGAGATGGGAGAGGGAGGTGTGACCTGGGGTGGGGGCCAGGGAGGGTGTATTGAGAAGAAGTGGCTGGGATGGGGCATAAGGGGGCTGGCTTGGCAGCTGTAGGTCAGGCCCAGCTCTCACTCCTTAGGGTGGAGGCAGTGTGGGGCTGTGGAGGACCCCAGGGCCAGCAGGGAAGGGGGCAGAGTGGAGGTATGGGGGCCCAGGGCCAGCACCTTGTAGCAATTGCTGTAGGTCAGGTCCACCTTAGGGTGGAGGAAAGGGTAAGGGCAGAGGAAGCTGTGGGGGGGACCCAGGGCCAGCAGGGAAGGGGCACAGTGGGGATCCCTGGTCTGGCACCTTATAGCGATTGCCATAGGTCAGGTCCAGCTCAGATTCCTCAGGGTCGAAGAACATGCCGGGTTTCTTGGTCATCATCTTGGTGTAGACGGCCTCGTTAGGCTGCACCCGGATCACCAGCTCGTTGCGCTTGCACTGCCGCTGGAAGATGTCGCCTGGCACATCCCGGAACTGTAGCCGCACCTCAGCCTTGCGCTCATTCAGGGCCTTCCCGCACCGCAGCACGAACGGGACGCCTTGCAGAGACACAGTGCTAGCCTCACCACAGCCCAGACCTACCCCTCCACAGAGCCCCCCCAGCCCCCCGCCCTGGGAGCGTAAGGAGAAGGCCTTTTTCTGCAGCCAGACTGGAAGAGCAGCAGCGAGGCACATCCACTCACTCCAGCTAAACAGTATTGCAATCATGACATCATAGGCTGTTCGGAAGGGGCCCTGTCCTACTGGTGCCCACTAGCCCCAGAGAACAAAACAGGTCTCCAGACGGGTAAAGAAACCTGAGTGGGACAGCATCTCACCTGGCAAGAAACTGCTTCTCGACAGGTGGGCTTGTGAAATCTCATTCTATGAACAGTTCCCACTTCCCCATGGCTCCGTCCCATCGTGCTCTGCTTTGCAACGGGTCCTCTCTGCTGTGTCATTCACCTGGCCAGGTGCCAACCAGGATTGGGCTGGGAATTTGGTTGCCATATGCAAGGCTCGACAATCTACTGAATCTACTCGCCTGTGGTGAGTAGATTTCGGCCAGGCACCCCGTTTACCGGCGCGCGTGCACACTGCAGCTCTTGCGCATGCGCAGTGCGGGGCTGGCGAGCGGCTTTCGCTGCGGTTCGTCAAACCCTGGCCATATGTTAGGGCTGGTGAGTCACATTTTAGTAAATAACTGGTTAAGGTCTAGGGATGTGACAGTGTAAACAGTTAACTGATGAACCTGGACTCGTCGGTTAATTTCACGGTTACAGGCGGGGCCTCTCCCACCGTGATGCTGAAGGGAGGGGGGCTCAAAGCTGGCTCCCCAGGAGCCCAAACTCCCACCTGTCCCCCACCGTGCTGCTCCGGCCTCCCCCCAGTGTAAACGTGGAACCACTGGGAATTTCTTAAGGTAAACGTTTTAACATCCCTACTAAGGTTGAGCTAGGCAGGATTCACTTGTCACTCTATAAACTGGGGCCCAAAGGAAGTACTTGGGGAACCAACTCCAAGACTCAGCCCCAGGATCAGAGCTGCCCGACCTCATCCCTGTGCTGATGACACCGGGCAACCACAGGAATCTTTCCCAAGGGACCTGATCCTAACTGGCCAGCAGGACAATTCATTCGCCTTCCGGGAAACAGGGAGCCTGGGATGCTGGGTGTGGGCAGCCAATAACTAGAGGGTGAGTGGGAGATTTCTGTGTAAGGCACCGTCACTGGGAACGGACCCCCCCTCCACACAGTGTGAGGTTACGCCTGAGCCCTGGGAGTTGGTGAGGTGGGTGCCCCTTGGGTGTATGACAGAACATTTTGTGCAGGTAACAAGGAAGGAAGGGTGGCAGAGGGACAGAAACAGTGCTAGGGCCCCACCCCCACAGCACACACACAAAGGGGAAGGGCAGGGGGTTACAGACAGTGCTCTCCCCAGGTGCTCCACCCCCTCCCCCCAGTGCTAGCTCACTAACCTCCCCCACAGCACCCACCCCAGGTACATCATTCCCGCCCATGCAGTAGCTCACCATCCCATCTCTCGTTGTCCACATAGAGCACGGCAGTGGCGAAGGTGGGCGTGCTGGAGCCAGGTGGTACAGTGGGGTCGTCCAGGTAGCTCTTCTGGGCCTCGCCCACACCGTCAGGGTTCCCCACGTACTGGCCCAGCACCACACTGTCCAGCTGCAGCTGGGAGATGCACTTCAGCACCTTCACCTGTGGGGGAGCACAGTTCAAAGCCCCAGCCATGGCCAGGCAGAGTGGGGTGTGGGTGGGTGGGCATGCGCAGGGAGAAGTGGCCCAAGGACCCAGCCATGACCAGGCAGAGTGGCAGGGGGGGGGGGGGGGGC